ATATTTAATGGCAATGCAACACGGATACGAAGTCGGTGAATACTGTAACGGCCCGTAACTGGCACTTGTGGTTCTAACAGACTAGCTAGTTTGCATAAGAATAGTTCATTTCTGTACGTGCATACCTGTTAAAACCGCAATAAATCAACTTAACTTGCTATGCAAATTGCTCATTTCAACGTTGCTAATCTTTTGAAAAATGTAATATTTTGCTTTCATGTCATACTATTCCGGAATGCGTGTTTCGTATCTGACTGTCACTTACGTGAAAAGAACCCATCTCTCAAAAAAGTGTAAATAAACATTGAAGCCCGCGGCATTTGTATACAAATCTATACACAATATTTTAGTTTGTTTGACGTAAAGTTGTTTCTCCTCCGCTGGTGAAGCGTTACGCTGGATCATTCCAATGACAATGTTGATGATGATGTCCTGGCACGCAACAATACATACTCTGAATTCCGCTTGCTCAACATACCATGATTGTTTACATGTAAAATGATTTACTGTATCTGATGCTACAAATAATCATGTAAAACCTATATGAATGCAGGTCATTCACCGTCAACCACTCATGTACCCCCTTATTGATCAAGTATTATGCTTTTACTTATTATCTATACTTATTAACTTAGCCACTTTCCTAACTCCAAACCCACCCTGTCAACTTTCCCTGTTGAAGGAAACCGGAGCGCCCGAGGAAATTTAAAAGCCACGACTTTCGGCAGAGGTTTGACAGACTCTTTTCACACGAGTCCATATAGCGAACCCACGATGCTCGACGAAAAAGGGTGAGGACAACCACTGTACCCTGGCTGTCAACTGTGCATGGTAAAACGATTAATGTGGGAAAGGGACAGTTTCGTCACTGACTATAACGAAGGTAAAATTCTTAAACCAAATGATATTACGTACGCGGAATGTTGACAATGAAGAACTGCCGGATTTTGTAAGAATAGCAGTGGAGGAGAAACGACAAATACAAGATCTAAATAAGTGGCTACAATCCAAGCCAAAACTCTGTGGACACTTAATCCACTTTTGCAAAAATCACAGCAAACCGCTAAAATTTGAATCACTCGCATGGCCCCCTCCTCTTCAATGTAGTTGCATCTTTCGAGGCCAATGTTTGTGGGTTATCCACAACATTTTAGCCAGGATTATAGCTCAACTCCTCTAGTATAAATAAATTGAGTCTAGTTTATGTTTCGTCCTCTAATTGCAATGGACCACTAGACCATGCAGTTTACAACAAATAATGCTATCTATAGTATAAATAAACTAGTTTCAATTTTGTTAAATTTAGTATGGCTTATGTACTGCCGTGTTTATAAAAATGTTTAATAGGACCAAACATTGTCGATTTTGGTGTATATGAAGGCTAACGAAGCATCGCATAAGTTTTAAAATGATATACAGAATAACATGCTCGCACATATTTGATGTGATGACAAACTTACTATGCTTCATTAAATTTTATTTTTGTGAAGGCAGGCAATCTTCAAATGGAGTTTATGTCAAACATATAGTCCATGCTCAACGATATTTCGTCGCCGAGCGATATATACAACTTCTTCACCGTAAGCCACGAAAATTGAGATCAGGGACGTAGCGACCGGGGGGTGTGGGAGGTTAAAAAACTGTGAAACTCAGGCAAAAATCAGGTAAAATTCAAATTTTGACATTTTCAGGTAAAATTTGCGTAATAAAGTAATTATTTTTGTGAAATGATAACCATTTTTGTAAAATACAGTCAATTGGTTTACGAATTTGCTTTAGAAAACGCCAGAAATGCAGTCCTAGGGCTTCAAAAATGTAAAAATTTTCTGGGGCCGCCCTTTCCCCCCGAAACTTAGTATAACAGTGCAAATCAATCACAAAAAGCTTTATTATAATTATTACAGTTCAGGTAAAATTTTAACATTGAAATTCAAATTTCAGGTAAAATCCTCCGACCTCCCCCCAACTTCTGATGCTTCGCTACGTCCCTGATTGAGATATATCCGAAACCGCCCTCTCAAATGCGCCAAAACCGCCTTAACCACATTTAAGTATAGCTTTTCCGAGAAAACAACACTGTTAATTTTGAAAATTTATTTGACATAATGTACATGTACATGTAACATAAAAGGCATAGTATAACAATTAGTCACTAAAGATTCGATTAATCGATGGTCGATCAAGCCAATTAATCGACCCAAGATGAACATTTTGCATACATGCATAATTGTCCAATACATGTAGTGTTGTATCGATATGAGGGGGCAATGTTTTTAAAGCAGTTCATTGTTATCTTCAGATCTTCTACAAAGCTATCTGGACGGTATAGTTCGTTGTTCATCATCACGCTGTACATTGCACGTGCCTCTTTCTCTAAGCTGAAATATATCAGTATATGAATACACATGAATACGTTAGTTATTGGACCGTGATTGTGAACTCTGAAAGGCTGGTCATATGGAGCTGGGTTAACAGAGATATTTCGTTTAATAAAGCTCTTATCCACGGCTTTGACTAACATCAAAATGACATTTCCGAGTTGAATTGGCTTTGTTTGATTCCAGTATTCAAACGATCTTATAAAGCAAAAAGTTCAGTCTGAAAGCACTGGTGTCAGATCTATGTGGTCAGCGTTCTGTTATGGCAATGCGCAGTTCCACTGATTCTGCTTTGCAGGTGTGTAGTTATACACGCCTTTTTTATTTAAATATAAATACACGCCCATATAGACTTTGTCTCGTAAAACGTAATTTTAGAAACCAGGTAATTTGACGGCTGCGCTCATCCTTCCCGCCCCCTCCCAACGACAAATTTTTCACAAGTGTTCATTTCTGCTCTCCAATATTTTGAATAAGTATATGTGTGTCAAAGAGATGAGATAGATAGAGGGTTCACTTATTAAAATTACAACCTTAGTATTAAAGGCTTAAAAGCTGAATTGGAAAGGTTTTACACATAAATTTATAAAATCAGAATATTAAAATACGACCATGCACGATTTAGTTCAACTATTAATATTGTAATATCATATAGCTATTCCGCGAATTAAAACTGCATGTATACCTCGAAATTCTTTGTCTCGCGAGATGCGTTTAATGACCAATTTACCTCATTGCTAAAGCTTGAGGGACGATTAGAAACAAATCATCTCACGGGCACGGACTATTAGTTACTAAATCCTCCCTCATCTTCATTCATAACCTCTTATATTGATGTTCAATTAACTCTGAACATTTGTTCCTTGCAAAAGACCTCCGATATTAATTTGTGACTGGCTTTTTCTATAACCGTCCTCTTTTATCCTTGTACTTTGCAACTAAGAGTGTAAAATTTAAGGCTGTTTCTTGTCAGGAGTAACAGTTCAACTTACTTTGCACTCTGTATTAGTTCTGGTTCTCTTTGATCGAAGCTTCATCTCCTTCGGGATTTTTGCATCTTTGTTCAGCTTTTCACCCGACCGTCTTCGTCTCCATGCAGAACTATGAAAAATTACGAGTTCTTTTCTGAGGGTGGGGGCAAGGGTATTTTCGTGACTAGCAATTATTCGTGCTTCGTGATTCGTGATTTGAAGAAATAACATTCCGTGAATCGTGATTAATATGCGTGCCGTGAATCGTGAAGAGCTAAAAGGGCTAGCTAGGGTCTTGAATTTTCCAATATTTTACCTTAAATTGTGAATGTTTACGTTTAAAACTCGGCCCACATTTAATATTAACGTTAAAAAAATGAAAAAATTTGCTTCCCGCGGTTGTCTTTCTTTAGGTTTCTTCGTTTGATCGTAAACGTCGTTCTGGTGTACCTTCGTACCTCTTCGTAGACTTCGTGAACATCATAGGACGCTCGTAATGTTTCGTGATGGCTTGCAATGATTGATAGTCCTTTAAAAGCTCTAATGTTAAAGTCAGTAAAATGTGTTTGTGTTAACATCGATTTCTGCTGTCTAGAAAATCGTTAAATAGTTTCAGACTTTGTTTATACGCTTCTGTGTTTCTAAAAATCGTGAAAATGAAATTTTGTTTTTCGTGACTCGTGAAATCTAAAAATTATCTTCGTGATTTCGTGAAGAGACCCCCCGGGGCCCTTGCCCCCCCCCCCCTCTTTTCTCCCAGCTTGTACGGAAACAAGATACATGTGGCATTCAACAACTGAAAACCTCACCTATAGTCTTTATAAATATGAAAAAATTGAATTCTATATATTGGCGTTTCGTCTGTGGAATCAGCGCTTTAAAGATTGCTCGAGAAAACACATAAGCAGGCCTTGTAGAACTGAGAAGAGATTATTTGCGGAATAATAAAAATTAACTCGACTCAAATATTGCCGATCGAAGGAAGACTCGACCAACTCGACAAGTAAACGATTCATTGGCAATTGCAAAATCACAACAAGAAAACCTACCTCAAGTCAGCTGCAACAAGTACCAAAAGAAAAACCACGAATATCGACCGATTCATCCTGGTTGCAAATCTTTCCTCAGCAATGAACTTTCGACGAAATATTTTCTGTACTGCAACTGAGCAATGCGCCGTGCCCAAATGACGCGACGGCTCCAAGCGCTGGGTGATATTCTTGTTATATTATTAATATTTATTATATTATTAATATTTCACTTAATTAACATCAAACCACCAATAAGAACATCCTCATTTCACATCACTGAAAGGAAACCATCAATGCGTGAACAATTAAAGCGCGGTCAAGCCTGGTTCACATATGCCTGCGGTATATGTCGGCGGGCTATTGTCGTTAGCAGTTCAACCAAATAATTTACAAAAGAATGAATGCATCAACAACTAAATAAATATGTTTTTTATGTTATGTTTTGCCCTTTTCGTATGAGTATTCAACGACACGTACGGTTGAAGAGGAAAACTATACGATAGGTGTGACTATGGTATACCGGATAGCTCTGGGTTCGAAATAACGTTCTGAAAATATGTCAAATTTTGTACTTGTAGGCTGTTTTTTGTAGGTGAATATTTTTGCCGCATCCTGAATTGGTTCATTTCACAAATTGTTTAAATTATAATCAGTTTACAACATTGCCGCTTTTGAAAAACACCGCTACTCATTTGTTCACATTTATGGACTGCAAATTGGTCCTTGTTCATTAATAAACTACTAATTTCCATCATAAGTAGATGAGATCACAAAGGAACATTTTAATCCTTTTGATAATGAACATTCCACATTTTCTCTCCCCATTATCAATATACTGTTATTCATTTGGTTTTGCCGCAAAGCCATGCTTGTGATCTAAAATATTTGAATGTGAAATTAAAACCAAACGTTATTCAGTTATATACTGAATAGGTCTATCAGTTCTTCATTTTCTTTAAGAAATCGGCATGCACGCTTTTGGTAAGACGTTGTGACGAAGTCGCCACGAAGCTGGAAGGGTGCGTCAAAATTTCGTGTTGTAACTAGTAACTTCGATTTAGAGACTATAGTCGAACTGAACTGAAAAAAAAGTCTTTGTCAAATGTAACACAAGCAGAAGTCTCGTCCGACCATTGACTTGCTGTTACTAAAGGGGCGTTTGCATATTGCGATTTGTCCTCATGTGCGATTCGGGTTCTGGTGCATGAAATTCATTTACTGATGCTACAATTCAAAAAATCTGAATTGAGGCGAAATTTTAAATCGACACAAATTAACGCGTGCCAATTTGATTGCATACGCCAGAATACGAGTCGTACACGGCGGATCGCGGTGTGCAAACGGGTACCCTAAGTAAACTTATTTCTGTTTCTTAATTTATATTGATATTTTGTAAAGGGCCCACTGTAATTGGTGTTAAGCTGTTGTGGTGTCCCAGCTTCTTTAATGCACTAATTATTGTACGTATGATGTTTGGAAGCGAAGCACAATATAAGTAAATAAATAAATAACTAGTGTGATGATTTTATGGTTAACTGATTTCATAACCAGATTAGCGAATGGACGTCTATAACACGCGTCGTTTCCTTGATACCCACGGTTATACGGACAGGTTCAAATAATTTAATTGGATCAATTTGACAAGCGTCTCTGCAGATAATCAGGACAACATAGATTTCCTTTATAGATTTACTTTCAATATTATTTTATACATTATTTTATATATCATGTAACTTGCTACGCGGGGAATGGCATTCTATTGCAAACCAAATCTGAGACAGAACGTTGAGAAAAATGAGAACGAAGCAATAGTATTTCAAAGCGATTGAACCGTAAACGAATCCAGAAACCAAACGCGCGAGTAGTGTGCCCAAATGAGCAAACGACAGGCCTACGCCTTGGTAGAAGCCCGTTTCTTCCGGATCCGTTATTTTCGACAGGATCGAGCCGATCTGGGTAAAGGCAAAAGAAGGCATTCCAAGCGAAATGTAAACAAGCAAAAAGTACCATTGTATCACGCCAGGATCTTGCCACGACAGTACGAACCAAGTAAAAACACACACTGCAGATATTTGCATAACCATTGCTAACACCAGCTGTTGTTTTTCGTTGTAAAACTCCGAGGCTATATATAAAACTAAAAATAAGAGCAAACCAAACATGGAACCGTTCAGGAAGAGCAGTTTTGTGACAGTTAGCCAAAGATGGAAATGTTGTTGGGTCAAAATCGGTGTGAAAAACGTCACGGATCCAACATACCAGTCAGCCATTGTTGCTATAAACAACACAAGGCAAATTGTTGATGTAAAACTAGATTTTCCTTCTCTTAAACCGGCCTTTTCTTTGCTTAAATCTTGTTCCTTGATTGGCTCTTTCCTTTTAATGACGTGAGGTGATTTGTCAGCAAATTCTTCATCAGAAGGGTCGTTAGGCAACCAAAACGCGATGACTGTCATGAAGAGCCAAATAATGCTCAAAATAATCCCCGGCGAATTACCAGCATCGATTTGCCAACCATAAATATTAACTTTAAACACCAAAAAACTGCTGATAGCTGGCCCTACCACAGTACCGAGACAGTATAACCCATTTATAAAAATGAGCATCTGTGGACGATATCTCAATGGTGTATTCAGCACGATTTGGGCATACCTCACACACAATGACCCAAACCCAACTCCGCTCAAACCTCGTCCAATGAGCGGACAGTACGCCGAGAATGGCATAGCATACACCAAATTTCCGAGAACTTTTATCGCATACCCGAAAATTATGATGAATTTGTAGCATTGGAATTTGTCTCGCAGCTTGCCAAAAATCGGCGACGAGACGATTGTCGTGATTTCAAAAATAGCTAAGACTAGTCCCAGAAATGCTTCGTTTTCACCCAAAGACGAAATGTAGTACCAGGCTGTTGGCGCGATGAAGAAATCCTCCATGCCTTCGAGGAAAGCCGATATTGTGAAAACGAATAGGACAAACGGTTTTAAAAAAGTCATGCTCCTGAATTTCATAAAATTTTCCATTATAAGAAATGCTGTTGGTAGTAGTGGTTTACAGAAAGGAATGAGATTAAGTAATGATATCAGATGTTTGTATCTAAACAGAATTGAGACGCAAGTATTAGATTGATTGAAGATTGCTCAAACCAATCCAACAATTAGCTTTTCTCATGAAAGCCAAAATCAGCCATTTTTGGCGTGTGTCTGCCCTCGTGAAAGATTCTAGACAATTCAAACAACATGAAAAGCGACTTTTAAAAGTTGTAAGTGTAAATTTACCATTATACAAACAACTACAGTACTAAAAAGTCGCATAGTTTTGTGGTGCGGAGACTCTCAAAGGTGGGAGAAGCAGTAGCTCAACCACAAGCCCCAAACTGAGAGCCGGGTGTTTGTTAATTAAACATGCATATAGTTCAGTATGCTGTCTTCCCTTGCTCCCCCCGCGCGCAGTTTAGCCAAATCTAATGAAAAGGTTTTTATATCACATGTGAAACCACAGATGTTAATGATTTTGCTAGTGTACATAATTGCAATGCTCGATCTTAAAACTGTTGAAAGGATCATATTTTAATAGAATAGTCAAGCCTTGTCGACTTGTAGCGAGTCTAATCAACATCAACGGATACATTCCCCTCGCCTCCCTAATTTTTTGCTGCCCGCCACAGCGCCACTCCACCCGCACGCAGGCTAGAGAGCACATGACGGAGAGTTGCATGGCAGATCACGCGACCTTACCTAGTTTATTTTTAGCAATTCGTGACTGGCAACTCTCTCTCTCTCTATACTACTCAGATAAACTTGCTTGCGTATAGTTTGTTCAGAAGTATAACCAGCGGAAAGTTTTAAAAAACAAACTCACTTTTCATACTCAGTTCTTAATAATTTTAGTGTTTAGTGTATATAATCTAACGCACTTCATGCCACTGGCACTGTCATATTAAAATTGCGTTATTTTGTCTAGTATAGTATGATAACATTCACTGCGCATGTAAGATCCATGAATTTCAACCAGTTAGTCTGATGATGAATTTGGTAATGAAATCGAAATATCGCTCGTCCCGATTTCTCGGATCTTTCCGGGACTTTGTTTTATTTTGTGTAGTTTGTTGTAAACCAACTGGGTGAAGTGCGCACGCAAATTTGTGCAAGTAAACGAATAAATGCCGTCAGTGCGCTTGGATAGTATTCGCGCGCGTCATCGAAATGATGAACTCAAAAAAAAATCTAATCTTGTCCGCGTGATTTCTCGCATGAAGCTTGATTCTTCGCATGTAGTATAATATCGAATATAAAAACAACAATTTAGCTCAAAGACATACCTTGCTTTATTTTATCATGTATTCTTGAGTCGATAGATTGTTCTCACCAGACATTATATTTGGGCTCACAGAACGTAAAGTGTAGTATATAATTTAATAGTTTAATAGCCTGTAGCTATGTCTCAACTATCAGAAAAGTAATACGTCAAATAGCTATAAAGTTAGCCACTGATTATGACGCAAACACACTCTTTGGTTGATTAATAAATTTCTCAGCCAATCAGGGAAGCGAGAACTTAGCGAAGGCCAGGTCACGGCCAACCTTGTACTCAGGACTTCTGTGCTTTGTACGAGGTACGAGGATTGTTCGATTGTTCTCACCAGACATATTTGGGCTCACAGAACGTAAAGTGTAGTATATAATAGTCTGTATAGTCATGTGCTGCCTCTCAAATATCAGAAAATTAGCCACTTATGAAACAAACACAATCTTTGGTTGATTATTAAATTTCTCAGCCAATCAGGGAAGCGAAAACTTGGCGAAGGTTGGCGAAGGCAGGTCAAAGCCAGCTCCTGTGGTTGGGTACGAGGTTGCAGGCTCAGGGTTCGAGATTGAACTTGAAGAATGAACACGATTCGCTCGCCTCAACCCCAAGCCCCAAGCTCAGAGGCGTGTTTTTGTTCAATTAAACAGGCATGAGGGCTATATAATATGTTGTCTTCCCTTGCTCCCCAGCGCGTGTTTAGCAATTACCCGAAATGCCTTACATTTTCAAGGTATACAGCCCGCGTGTTCAACTACAGACTGAGGAGAGTGAACAGTTGAAATGAATATAACTGGAACGTAACCTCCTCCGCAGGTAACTCTTTGGCAAAAATTGGCAAAAGTATTATGAATAACAGCGAATTTAAAGTTAGGGATTGTTGGGGATTACTAGCGATAAAGGGAGAAATGGGTGAGGAGAGAAGCGGGGAGAGTTGCCTGCCAAAACGCGACACGCGTGGACCGCAGTCTGTACCTCAAGGACTTTACTCTGTACCCTACCCTCGCTAAGTAAGGTTTTGCTCTATGATGGCGGACAGTCAAGCGATTGGAGAAGTTCCTAGTAAAATCCCTCGGTATAAACCGCTAAATTCCAAAATACCAGTTTTAACTAAAACCTATATATGCCAACTTAATTAATTATTAAACATATCAAAGACAATAAAGAAAATATTGTAAGACGGAGGGCAAAAATTCAAGTTTTAAAAACGGATTTGGCCGCAACAATCATGATCAGTCGAATGATTTTATAAATGTAGGTAATACTTTTGCCAATTTTTGCCAAAGAGTTGCCTGCGGAGGAGGCTAACTCGGGAACGCTACCTTCACTGAGATAAACTGCGCCTTTCATGAAGCCAAGTCTGACCCCCAGACACGCGTGTCAAGCCACGCGTGTTTATGTCATGATTCACTGATTGAGCGCTCTTCGCGTGCGTGACTGAGACTGGAATAATGTTCTGTTGGAGAAAATTGCACGTAGACTGAGTTTGATTTTGATAAAATTAGTATTGCGGCGAATAATTTCATCTTTAAATAAAAAGTTTTAGCCAGGTGCGAAATCAACTGTAGTCTGTACTGATTACAAATTTTACATAAGGACATATTACATAATATGTGCTAATATATGCATTGCTTGAGCATAAATCAGTCGAATGTAACGAAGTGTAACGTACAAACAATTTTAGACAGCCTTTGTCCTTTGAGAATATTGACTCTTTCAAGTCGTGACCTGTTCTTGATCTTAGTTTAATCTTGGTAGTTTTTTACTGCACGCCGGGCTAGAGGCTTCCCGGTTTAACATAAAACCCTTATTGGTATATGTTCTACATAATTGCATGCCTGTTTTTGAGGTCTAAAATCTACATGCCTATAAGCCGCTCAAAAAATTAGGGCTTACAATTCGGTCACGGTAATTGACTTTTGTAGTAGGTATACAATATTATTGACTAACTGTAACGAGAAGTCAGTAGACATTGGTATACCCGAACTAGCCGGTTTAATTACAAATGTCTGAACTGAACTGATCAAAAGTTGATCTGGCCAAAACATTGGTGACTTGCAGGGATTATTAGTGAGTTACCGTTTGAAGATTCAATTCTTTCGAATATGACGCTTCATTGAACCGCTTTCATGCGGCAAACTTGGGCTTATTGGTTATGCATGGTAAACACGCTTAGACGTTTCTAGTTTATTGCTTGGTATTTGTCAGCTATCCGGCGAGGTTTTAATGGCTTCTTAACTCTTTGGTAAACATTTACAAATGGAGAAGATGTTGTGGACTAAGGAAATCTGATAGTATTGACAAGCATGGATCACCCAATAATAAGGTAATTGAATATAGTTTTATTACATGATATTAGAAATGCTTTTCATTCAAGCGTAATTCGTCTATACTGATTGCACGCATCAGTACCAAATAATGCATGACGGTTCATCATTTTATAATGTCTTATTATAATATAATATGGTTATAATATGATCCAGTGTTTTGGTACTGTATTAAATATAGAAGGTTAGTACTAGTAGGTTACAAACTTTCCCTTCCAGCAATGTCAGTGCATGGCCACGGGCAATTGGATTTGAAGCATGCCTTTATTCTTTAGTTTTTTATTTGTTGATCAGAACACGCGGTTATGTGTTAAATATGAAGTTGGCGTTGTTTGTGTTTGAACTACCTAAAGTGAAACGGCATTCTGTTTTACTGATACAAAAAAGGACAATCAATCAATCAATCAATCAATCAATCAATCAATTATATATTTATTTCCCATGTGTACAATAATAAGTAACAAAACTATGTGTAGTTTGAAAAAAGGACAACATATATATATTGCCGTAGAACGTACACTATATAACTTGCCCGGCTAAATCATGCTGGGTCCGTCTAAATTAAAAGTTAAATGAACCTTGTATTGTACATGCTCGTTCTGTTTGGGGATAGCACTTTGTTTCGAGCAATTATAAAGACCTGGCAGTAGGGTTATTTATCGGCATATCGGTGCAGAGTGTCAATTGTGTTCAGACGTGCTAAAACCCAGGTCACACTACAGCCTGGTTCACATTGATCGTAAACATCGGCGATGCCCATTGTCGGTGGTCATTGATGCATAAAATGTTTTGTGCATTTTCTTCTTCGTTGCTCACAGACAATGGATCGTAGAACATCGCCGATCAATGTGAACCAGGCTTACACAACCATAGCGATTGTTTTCAGTCGGACGATATAAACGATAAAGTTTTGACCAATCAGGGCGCGTATCAAGTTATCGTCTATAAATGTTAACCAATGACCTAGCTGTGTTCCAAAGTCCACTACACTGAACAGGCTACACAGACTACACAGGCTAGTTGACCACCATCTGAACAGTACCGATATTCGTATTCGTCAACAAATTCACTTCGATATTAAAAGAATCTACAAAGAAAAGACGCAGGCCGTTCGCTTGCCTTGAAAAGTCAAGGTATTCCAACATAATGTATATTGAGATAATGAAATGCACATGTAACCAAAGTAAATCCGGAAATACAGGTTTTGTTCACCACAGGAATTCTGGCTATATATTAAATTAAACAAGCATGACGGTAAAAATGTGTCTGTTTACAATTACATCGCTTTGAATTTTCCTTTCTTACGGCTCACAATGCCATCCTGGTGTTGTGAATTCTTCAGGGATAACACCCAATGGTTCATAACACTACAAGGTAGGTTCTATTTTGTGATATTACATGTATGCCAGGTTGTATCGGGTAATATTTAGTGGTAAAAAATTATCACCACGTGCGAGATTACAATGGCACTGGGGCAAAAAGCTTCATATTAAAGCTTCATATTAACTTTTTTCAACTGCATGTACATTACATTGTCTTTTATGTACAAACTCTTAGACTCTTAGTCAAAAGCCCAAAGTCAAAACGTGCGTCGTGAGTATCACCATTTCACCATGGGTATCAGTCGCTTTTTTATCGGTTCATCATAAACTATATAGCCATTGGCCCACCGCCCACTGCAGCAACCAAAGTAAAAAATATGGACGGAATAGGAAATTCATTTGATTTGAACTTCGACGCTTGTCAGATTGAAAATAATTTGATCAAAGCGTCTTAATTTAATTTATTATTCACAATGAAATCTCATCTGAATAAATTCCGTGGTTCATGAATTACAATCGACTCGTCCATATTCATTTGAAGGTTGCCTTTGATCTTGCTTAGGAGTTTTTAGATTATAATACCACTTTTAATTCTTCATTATAGACTAAAGTATCTAAGTCCTGCAACAGTATATATAAGTATGATGTGATTGTATAAAATTTCGTAAATAATATTATACATCGGTCAAAGTTCGTATAAAGAAAACGCACATGTTTGTATAAAGTTGTTTTTATTTGTCACTAATTCTACAGAAGTCTAGCTGATTAATACAGAAAGCTTTTAAAGCAAACACAGGAACAATACATGTATGAATATGTGCGCAGGATTAGGCACTCTCGAAGATTAAACGAGTTTACCTTCTTGTTGTGTATGCTCAACAAGTTTTCCTTGACAAGTTTGCGCGGAAATGACGGAATACCTCGCGTCAAGGCTTCCTTTTGGTTGCCAAAACCATAGAAGTATTCCTTATACATTTGTCAAATGTCAAACTTTCCTTGGTGGCTGTATATACACACGAACAAATGTTCCTTGTCCAAATGCTGAATAGCTGATATTGCTGGCTTCGTAAAAGGGCTCCTGGCCAAGAGAAACTGTGATTATGTTATCACAAGAGGATACTGGTGCGTAGCGATGTTTGGCGCAGTCAAACATAAAGCATTTCTCACAGGCGCGCAAATGCATATCGCTTGTACATGCGCACTACGCGCAGAGCCGGCAGAGGAATCGAATCTGACAATCTGGGTCGCAAAGGTGAACGCTATTATTGCTGATCCCTCGTCCCGCTCTCCTCTAGAAGAGCAGGCCACAGCGGTTCTCCTTAATCCAGAACCGCAGACAAACAAATATACAAACAAGTTTTTATCACGTCTCAACAAGTATTTGTTTGCATATTTTCCGCATGCATTTACGCACGCAATCCAGCACGCACGCAATAACACTAAAGAGGAAATAAACAGATCATGTTTGCTAACATTCTTTTGACTTATTTTGATTTTAAATTTCCTCTTTTCATCCAGCACTTTAATTTTAAATTTCCTTTTTTCAGCTGTGGTGATGAAGTTTCCTATTCTTGGTCTAAATCAATTTCTATCTGAAAAAAAAGTTAACAGGAACTACATATTCTGGTATGTATGTTATTTATGTATAATCCTCCATATATTTTTGCGTAGTTTTGTACGTCACGACCTGTAGGAAATTTTAAAACTTTTAAGAAAGGCTCGAAACATGTTCGACTTAAATTACAAAACTTTCGTTGGTAGCGATGCAACTACCTGAAAAATACAAGGAGAATCAGGTAGTTGCATTTCTACCAACAAACGAAAGTTTTATTATTGTAGGTGGGTTTCACTCAAGACCTATACAATAGGGACACGCTTGGTAGTTGGTGGTAAACTTTACACAATACATATTGCCGCTTTATGCCTTGTGGAAGCAAGTAAATTTCGTTCAATAGTGGGGCTTCGCCGTGGCGAAGTGGTTAGCGCACTTGCCTTTCACCTCTAAGGCCGTGGGTTCAAATCTCAGTGAGAACTTCTCGATGTGACTCGAACCCAGTCCTCATGTGAAAAGAGTAAAAGTCAACGCTCTACCGAAAGTCGTGGGTTTTCTCCGGGTACTCCGTGTTTCCTCCCACAGGGAAAGTTGACAGGGTGGGTTAGGCACATAGGTCTGGAAGCAGATCATTAATGAGGTATGGACTAATAGCGGCAGCTGCTCAAGCGCCATTTGTAAGCTCAAAGTCTACCTCGGTCTGCTTCACGTCTGTCCGGTTCTATCTATCTATTCATAATGTAACCAGTCACTGAAAAGCCCTGATAGGGAGTGTGCTGTGAAATATCTGTATCTGTATGTTTGATACCCAGGCCCGGAGCTACGAGGGGGTGTGGGGGGGGGTGTGACACCCACCCAGTAATTGTATTCAGTCGGTAGGACTGCTATTCAGTCGGTAGAACTGCTATTTGGGTTAAATATTTTTGGCGCAAAGGGCAAGAACGTGGTGGGAATTTTAGGAAAATTTTGAGGAAAAATGTAAAAATTTTGGAAAAATGTAAAAAAATGTTGAAAATTTGTTATGTTATGTGAAAATTTGTGTGTTATGTTTTGAACCAGTCGGTTGAATTGACCTTATTACACCCCCCCCCCCTGAAGAATTTCCTGAGGACGGCCCTGTTGATACCAAACACAAGATCAATACTTATAATGAATATCTAACTCGATACGATAAATTTGTTTCCATTTGGGGTTGACCACCAAGCGCTAAACATATCACGTGACTGAAACCCAGTTATTGGCACTACCTACACTGGCACAGACTTAAATGAGCTTTTTCCACTCTCGGTTTATCCACCATTTTGGGTGGTAATGCTTCTCCCAAGTCTGAGACTAGGCCGCGAAATGCGACTTTCTCTAGTTGTATCTAGTTGTATTAGTTCTATCTAATGACCATAATATCCATGTAAAGACAACAGATCGGTTGACGAGAGAAAATGATGGAACAGCAAAAATTATATTACAAGTTCCTAGAGTAAACACTTTAACATTTCAGAACAGTTATTACTGCAAATCACCCAGGACGTTTAACTGTTTACCATCACACTTACGGCAGTCACTAATCTCTCAATCAGTCAATTTAAATGCGGACTATTTAAATATTACCAAAACTTGGTAAAGACTAGGTCTACGACATTGATGTTCCACAAACGTTTAAAACAGTGTGTGTAAAGTGTCATTTGTGTCGTCCCTTGTCCAGTCTTTCTGTCAAACTGTGTTGTCATTAGTTGCTGTTAACCCAGTGGAAATATGACTTTGTTAGAGAGCATGTGAAATTAATTAAATTCCTTTTTTCGATCCACATGATTAGAATTGCTCAGGACCACATTAAATCAAACGTCTCAGTGATTAGCGATTTTGAAGCGATATATCCACTGTGTTAACCTATATTTCAGTATTGCATTAGCAGGTTACCCGTAAAGGAGCAACTAGCTCTGTGGGTTAAACCGGTCATGTGACAAAGATTGTAAAATAAAGTAAAATAAAATAAATAAATAAGTATGTATGATGGTAAATTCACAATTGCAACTTTGTAAAGTCGCTTGTCACACTGTCACAATTCTATGGGTCCGGGGGCATGTCTCCCTGGTAAAAAATTGAAGTTTGGGTCTCCGAAATGGCATTTCCTCCACTGCGGAGGCATTTGGAGAAAAATGTAAATGTCTTCCGCGGCGACGCAACTGATAATGAAAAGAATTACACTCCCTGTGTAAACGACTTTAAATAAATAGTTCCAATGACAGAATCTTTTTCGTTTTTAAGATTAACTCTCGCCTCAAAATGAAGGTGACAAGATTGACTACGATGAAACCATGGGTGCTAATTTTCCTTGCGATACGAAATTTCCTAGATGGAGCTGAAGAATACTTTATAACGCCAACCGCCTGGTACTATATAAAATCTCTAGGCGGCTCCCAACAATTTCTAGGAATGGTTCTATCCATATATGGCGGTGCGGCTGTCGTCGCTGGTCCGATACTGGGAAAGTTTGCTGACCACTTTGGGTACATAAAACTCATCGTGATTTTTTGCTACGCATTAAAGGTCGCTGGGAATTTAGTTTACTCCATTCCCGTCTCGTTATACTGTCCTCTGATTGGTCGAGCCTTGAGTGGGTTTTCCATAGGGTCAACCGGTATTCTTTACGGTCAGCTGGTGTTGTACACATCCGACAGATCACGTCCAAAAGCGTTTATTTTTATCAATGGGATGTATTGCTTGGGTACCGTATGCGGGCCGGCTCTGAGCAGTTTTTTAGTTTTTGATGCCAATATATTTGGCTGGAAGATCGATCCTGGTAATTCGTCCGGTGTAATCCTGGCATTGGTTTGGTCGGTTTCTCTTATCGTTTCGCTTTGGTTGCCCAACGAATTTGGGACGAACATTGAATTGGATAAAACTATCATTGCAATGGAGGACGCCTCGAGTAGTAGTAGCTCGGATGACAGCGATTCGTATTTCGTTCCGTCAAAACCGCCTCCAAAGCATACGATTTTCTGCGTGTTTTTTGTGATATTTCTAGGTCAATTTTTCCCAACTATTGTGACATTCTATACTCCACTTATAGCGCAAGAACGCTTCCATTTACAATTCCTCGATGTAAAACTCCTCTTTCTGGCGAGCTCTATCCTATCCCTCGTGCTGTTTCTCACTTTGTACATTTCTACAGGCTGTTTCGACGAACTAAGGCAAGCCTGTTTAGCGTTCTTTATGCAAATCATCGCGATTGTTCTACTCCTCTACTTCGCATTGTATTGGAACGACGTATATTGGTACGACAGCTACCTGCTAATCCCGTACATCGCTTTTGGGCTGCAGAATTTTATATTCGCAATAGGCTGTTCGTTACTGGCCAGAATCACGGACCCGAGCATGGCTGGCTTTTACCAAGGCTCGTCTTTTTCGGTAGATCATTTAGGATTTGTGTTTGGACGAATTGTGTCCGGGTTTATTTTTACGCGAATTTCACTGTTATTGTACTGTACAGGTCTTAGTCTCTTGTGGTTCTTAGGAACGGTTTGGTTTTCACTGGAATACAACCGAATATTGAACTAGTCATCTCGAGTCCTCTAGTCTGACTTGTGATGCGTGTATTCCGGAGTCCAAATTCGCTTTCAAGCCAGGACACAACGTTCTTGTTGGAAATTAATTGGTCAAATAAAAGAAGGGAAAATGAAACTGAACCAAAAATTATATCCAGTTAAGGGTTCAATCTTATGGTGGCCGTTTTCGATGTATATTTTATCGTGGTCTTCGTTGTATCGTATTTGGCAATTTTCTATATTTTGGTAGATAATTATTTGGATATTTTGGAGTCTGTATATAAATGCTGACTTCTATATGGCCCTGCACGAATTTCAGGTCCTAAATATAAATAGGTTTTTATTATTATTATTATTATTTATGCGAATATACCTCAATCTGTTGTTAATAAGGTATTTCGTGTGCAAGATTAATTTTTTTCGTACTCCCAACAAAATCCCCTCTAATACTTTTTTTGTTTGTGGAAACACTACGTAAATTTAATACTGCAAAGTGTTTCCACAAACAAAAAGTATTATATTTTTTATCGTCATGCAATCCTACAAAGAACTTAAAATCTCCTCTGCCCTGTAGGGTTGTTGATACTTTGGGTAGCTAATGTGACAGTAAAACCACGAAATCTTTTCATACACTCAAGAAACACTCCAGGTTAACCTTAGACATAAGCCTACTTGGGTTAAGTGTGGCCCAAATATTATTTTTTTGTATGTGTAATATTTGGATCATTCGAAGAAAAAATGTAATATATCTTTGTAGTAAAAAATCCTATCTTGATCAAGTTTTTCACCGTCACAAAGTTTCCGGATATGATGTCATTAGATGATTTGCAAATTCGTTTTCCTTTGTTTTTTGCTCCAAAAATTCATCCAATGACATCGTATCTGGAAACTTTGAGGGTGAAAAAGTTGATCAAGATGAGATATTTTACAATAAAGAGATATTACATTTCTTCTCAGAATGACCCAAATATTGCACATAGCAAAAATTATATTTGGGGTTAGTCGCAGTTAAATTTCCTGGGTTTTTAACCTTTTTCCTACAATAGTCTAGTTAATATATTTGACCAGGACGTTCTTGTGAAATTAACCAGTCTATATTTGGTGCTTTATCCACCTGACATAGTCCAGGTGATTTTAACATGGGCGACCTGGTCAATTATAACCAGTTTCCTGGTTATATTAACCCATGAGCCTATCGAAGGGAAGATGGATAATCGTTCCATGTTTCGCGCACCAATATAGCTAGTAAACGTTATGTAATGGATATTATAGCTGGTATACTGAAAAGTTAACTGATTACCTTCATACACATATATACACACCCTAACCCTAACCTTAAACCTACCCCTAACCTAACCCTAATACCTAACCCTAACCTATATTGGAACGATAACCGGAAGAGGGCTGTGAAACATTAGAATAGTCGACGTTTATTCATAAATCTGGTCCTTCACCGTCACGTGCAGTGTATTGTATTTTTGCCAAATTCACCAATAGCAATTTCCAATTTCCCTATATTGTTCGAGTCACTAATAGATAACTTTCCTAAAACATTGCTATTGGTTAGTTAAAAATAGAATACACACGTGACGGTGAAGGACCAGAATTATGAATAAACGTTGCCCAAACATAGATAATGAGTTATATTGTTATTCTAATGAGTTTCACAGCCATCTTCCCTTCGATACCAGACTATGGAGTCCCGTAGGAACTGAGATAAAATGACCAGGCAATTTAACCAGAAGTATTTAAATTAACCCAAATACTATTATTTTAATTTTTAGGTAGTGGAGATTTTAATTAACCATCGTTCATTTTATATAAGAGTTATTGACAATATTGTATATATAGACTATAGTGACTGAGTTAGAGTATTGAATTTTCCATGAACGGTACAGTGCACAGTTTGACAAAAAGTGTGAAGTCAGTAAAGCACGATTCAAAGACAATTTATCTGAACGCACATGCAGTTATGTCGCTGTCTGGTGGCAGCATTGGGGACATTAACTCCGAAACATTAAACGGCAATACCGAGTCAAATATGCGTATACTTTTATTTATTCTTAGTCGATAATTTTTTCAAGTAAAATCGCGGATCTGTAACTGCCTCGTTCGGTATATAAGACATATAAGAAAGCTTATAAATTCTTGATCCCTAACAAAGAATTTTGCGCAGTTGCAGGAACGTTTCGCCATTGTATACTAATATCAATATAACGGATTCAGCTAGCGTTTATACATTCTGTTATAAAACGATGCGGCTCATATGATAATTGATAAAGACATCTGAATACTCCCAGACTAGCAAGACTGTTATATTTATAGGTACAATTGAAAAAAATCGAATGTTTGTATCTAGTGCAGCTGCTTGCTGAAAGCTTTTGTGTAAACTCGGGAACTACGTACATGAATAATTAAGTGTACATAAGGTTGACATGCATGCATGTAAGATAAACAAATGCAATTTAAACTTAAACTGAATCACGAGAATATTTTAGAATTTAGTCCGGTAACACAGTCATTTGTAATTTTGGCACACAAAATTACAAATAACAATTATAAAACTCAGTAAACAATAAATTTCCTCAAGAACGGCTCGTAAACAGTGAAACAATTGTCACTTCAACACAAGCTATATGAGCCAATCTCACGACAAGTGGATTAATAGGTTTGCATGCACTGAAGGGTCAAACATTATAATTAAGGGCATTGTATGCATGCACACATTTCAAAATTTTTGAAACAGTTATAGTTATTCAACTGATATTGTCTTGGGAACAGACTGTAAGTATAAGAGACATAAGCTCTTTCTTCTTTTTTAACCGATTCGTCATTGAATAAATACAATATGGAAGAGGTTATTTCGGTGGCCTCAGAGTGACAAAATGTACTAACAGAGGTTACAACGCAACGGTTTTACTAACCCACAGTACAGTAGCCCTATTCCAAACACTAACCCTAACCCTAACCCTACTCCATGCAAGTTAATGTTTCTCAAAACCAATCTTGAAGAAAATTTTTTTGACGAAAGTCATTCTGAGGTCAGCGAACTATCTTTTATGGAAGGTCATGAAAAAAATGTGCCCTGATTATTAGAAAAGTTGTTAAATTTTTGTGTTTGATGGTAGTGGTATAGATTTTTATGTATGTACAGTGTACGTATCTTGATATACCAAAACCGGTATTTTTTATACCGGCCAATTCAAAATTAAGGGGAGCACAAGTTTCAAGCTTTGTAGTTGAATATTACAGCTATTTGTGAATGAATTGTTCTCGTATAACGATCAGATATTTACCATGTCTCTAGGAAATGGGCGCCATATGTGCTTTCTAAACTGATTACACGATGCTCCCGTTACGCTTAAGGTTTAGACTTTAGAGTAAGGTTTTGAATTAGCTGTATATTATATATATATATATATATATATTTAAAAATTTTGACCTAAAAACTTTGGTAAAATATTTAAATAAACATTTTTGCAGTTCAATTACAAAATAAAATTAAGTTAATGCAAACAAACGTCGGAAAGGCATCAGACCACGTGCACGGTGTAATCCGAAGTCTATCAATTATAAGCCCGTTTATTTACTTGGCCTTTGACTTGGTGTGCCTAACGCATTCGGCTAGCGTTGCTTCAAAACAAATTAAGTACGATCGCCGTCTTATATCTGAAGTGAATGTGAGTAAGGGCTCAAACCACCAATGTTTGGCCACTTTGATGTGAAACAAAACTACCGAATTTGCCATGTTAGGACACATTGAGGGGCTTCATATATAACTCATGCTGAAACACGTGTTTGGAATATCTTTATTGCGTCACAGTTCAGTATTGTCGCTCTGAGCGAACAACACGCTGAAATATTCCTCAGCTATTTTGCCATTTACGACCTTCGGCGTGTAAACGGGCGAGGAATTGTTTGTTTGATAATCTGGAATTTTGTTGGTAACGAGTGTACCTAATTGTTGACAGATCCCTCGACGTCGACGACGTGTATAAAATACCGAGTTGCGGTTTCTATAAATCACTTGTTAACCGGACGTTTTCAACGCTCTTGAGATTCAAGACAATTACATGCAGATTGTTGCTTCATAGCTTTTCAAAGACCAACATCGCAGTCTCGTGCGTGTTCTTTCAACGTCCTACGCTCATTTCGAAATGGCAAGGGACAGCCGGACGGAGTTCTTGGATAGGGAAATGCGGCCACTGTCGGCGACTCCTGAATTTGAAACCGAAGTACCACAGACTCAAAGAGCAAGTAAAAAAGTCTGCAGGATCGTCCCTTTCCGCACTACGCTAGAAAGGGCATTGGCATTCGTGGCACTCATTTTGTTACTTATTTGCGCGGTAGTAATCGCGCTTTTGGCCGTCCAAAAAGGGAAAGAAAATGTTCGCGAGCCAGATAAGATCAGTAAGTATTTGACGATAAGGAATTTTTAGAATCTAGTGAGTAGCATCTGACTGATAAATCGATCTAAATCGTTACGGTGTGAACGACCCCACGAAATCGACTCAGAGCCGTATCGGGCAAGTGTAGACCGATTTGAGATCGATCTAAGCTAGACCACCTCTCGGAACGTTTTACAACCGAGCCAATTTCTTGCTTAGCAGACTGCCATCTTTTTCCTGTTTGTTAACGGCAATTAATTTATTCAAGTTTTTTTTTATGAAAGTGTAGACACTTGTACAAGAAGTCTGGCAAGGAACAAGCAATTTGAGGTCGCTCTCCGATTTAGAGGCGATCTCAAAGTGTCATGAAGTGTGAACGCGCGAGCCGTGAGTTCGGAACCATATGACAATTCGTCAAGTTCAATTTGCTCAAATCGTGATTAATTACTAAAACAGCAGGCAATCGGTGCAGCTTTGAGTTATTGTATCAATAAATCAATTCTAGCATAATAGCCCCCTGGATATTAAAGTGACGCCAGTCTCTCGGTGAAATCCCCGCATTTAATTGATAGTCCTCCAGGACTGCGAATGAATTGTCCCAAGACAAAATTAGAGGCATATTTTTAAAGGACGCGGCATGCAGTTTTTTACAGCGATCAGTACGTGATATTAGGGCGCGTATTCTTCAAATGAATAAATTTGTTTTTACCCGGCGTTGTGCCGATCTGCCGATCGGTGCTTATCAGCCTCGCCCATGCTGTGTTAGAAATTAATAAACCGCTGTGATTTCGTGTTCTCAAACAATGAAGACCTTCATTTTGTATGTCAGTTCAGAGCCGTTGTTACCGTGTGATTACTCTCGCGATATTTTGCGGTTTTTTAAAAAAATTTCGGTCATACATAATTAGAATATTTAAAAACATTTTCTTGTTGATACGTTGTATCAACACGAGTTGAATTGGGAAACACAATTTCGAGTTTTCCCAAATTCCACTAGTGTTGATATACTACATATCAATACGGAAAAATGTTGGGTTTTCTTTTATAATATAGCACAAAGAGATATGAAGAAAGAAATTTTCCGTGTTGACATTGCTTAGCCAATTAGCGTTCAAAATTTACAAATGCCATATAACATATTATAAATAAATGTATAAATATTATACTACGAGTCAATAAGTGTTAAGTATTTCTACTTAAATCCGATTGTATATGATCTCCCACATTCTATGCCTGTGGGCTATGGTCAATTATGTCTTGTAGTATTTTCCTTGAGTCGTCTTTCCGGACTATATCAGGAAAAGAGTCAGGACGACATGATACAAGTCGACTCGTATTACTTTACAAATCGACTCAAATTTCTTAAAGCGCCGATTGTTCGCTTTGCTAGCTCGCCCGTTCGTTTTATTCGCTATAAATAATAATGAAAACGTTCATTCGTTTTACCCCTTACAATGCGAGACAAGTTTATACAACACGTAACAATGCCAGAGGCCGCGGAAGAATTTCGAAAGTGGAGGCCAAACGAGGCACTTTTGTATATGATCAAAATCAAACGATTTTGAAAATATGGAGTCTCTATATTAAACGTCGGAAATGGTCTTTACAGACTTTTTACTACTGCAAAAAGGCACTTTCTTTCCAGCAAAAGAGGGCGTTCATTCAAAAAATACTTTTTTCGTTCTTTAAATGGGGCACTTTAGCCCAGAAAAAAGGGCACTCTTTTCACTTTAAAAAGGAGCGGGGGGCACATGCCCCCCATTGCCCCCGGTTCCGCGACACTGAACAACGCGAGTCGATTTGTAACAAGTCTAGAAATGAGTCCGCGAGTCGTCTGTCAGTATTGTATCAAATTATGCATTCATTGGGAAAAAACATTGTGTCAAACGATGCATATAGATTGACCTGATAACACGAGGGCCCTTCGCGATCGTCGCCCGAAACGTTGAAGTTCTTTAAATATTTTCAGGTTAGGTTTTTCCAATATTGCTCATCGCTACATATAATGGGGTCCAACACTCAAGAGATAAGTGGACTCTCTTGCTTGACGAAGGGTGTGTCAAGGGCCTCCTCTTTTTGAAAAGTGTTTTTAGATTACACAAGATCGTTGGAACTCGGTGCACACGTTTTTCATGCAGGGCCGTACGCAGGATTTTTTCATCATTGGGGGGGGGGGGGCAATAAGGCCTACCGGATGTCCCAAAAAAACTTGCGCTGTTTGATTTAATGTAACGTAAAAACTATAAGAGCTATTACTCTCAAATTGTATTCAGAAAGGGCTAACTTAGATTTTGATCTATAACATTTGAATGTTCGTGCAACATTGACTGAGCTGTCGATGTTTTAAATCGGAATAACAGTTGCCTATCAAATATTATTTGGTTAAATTTGATAAATAGTTTTGTTGTGGCCAAAAGAACGAATGAAAAACATAATTGTTGGATAAACATTTATTCATTCATCAGAGAAACTATGCCCTCTTGCACGGGAAACCATTAAAATCCAATCTCTTTGATCTTTTGTAATCTTTTGTTAATCGAGGCATATTCGAAAGGCGAACGAATTAAGACCAACTTTATAATACGAACTCCCGAAGGACATCAAATATGCTTTCAAACGTTTTTAAATGTTTCAAGATTATTTCGCTTCCCAAGAAACATGAAATTAGGCTAACGTACTATAACATTACCTGAGTTTAAATGCTAAAATTAAAATTGTTAATTTTTGTGGAAAATGGAATTGGTTTCATATGAATTTGATCAGCCGTGTTTCTCGATTTTTTTTACTCATTTTTAAAGCGTGCGCCAAATTCAAACATTTGTATCTCACGTAAAATTACATGGCATTTTTAGAGTTGTGTATCAACGGATCTAAGTTAGCCTTTCCTCACTGACAATCAAAACTTATTTGAGTATAATAGCTTTTATAGTTTTTAAAAATCAAACAGCGCAAGTTTTTTTGGGACACCCGGTATATGCCGTGAAAAGTCCCAAATATCCGAAGAATAATTAACAATGACATTCTAAAAATCGTAAATAAATAATTTTCAATCTATTAACTCAAAATATGATTACAGCTTTTAAATTTTGTGCGCGAGCCATTTTTAGTTTGTTGCAAAAGACACACCCCCCTGGTTCACAAAATTTGAGATCGAGAAATTTGTTTCAATATTTTACATTATAAGTACCCAAAGAAGCTATATATATAAAAAACCCAGATACAAATAGGTGTTTTGCGAAATTGAAAGCAATTTCAAATCTGTTCAGTTTTTTTTTGATACACCCTGTAGTATATAGCCCTAACGGGTGATATTTTATTTATACAGCAACCGACACTGCAAATTTGAAGAAGTTGACTGATTCTGTCACCAATAGTGGTATATTCTATTTCTATCACCATTTTAGGTGACAAAATAACACTTTTAGAGTCATTCAAACTCCTCGGACATTTACAGTGCTAATTTGAACCCCCCACATAGCATTTATAATAGCCTGGTAGTGAAAGAGAGCTACCAGTGATCACAGATTGCGAGTTATTCATAGACCATTTGCAAACATGCTCAGTTGTCAAAACCTTTATTCAATATTTAATAAACAAGTATAATATATTAAAATCTGGTTTACATTTGGTCGCAGCCTGTGGCGTGCAGGCTAATTTGGTCGTAAGATATATTTTTGCAATCAATGACGATTGATTTGCATATTGCACGCAAAAGATAAGATTGACCGCGCTGAGTCAATGCCGAGATCTCGCCAGCCCGGCTCATATGAACAGCCCCTTATACTATTATTTATCGTTGTTATACATGTGATGTACACAATCCTGATAAAATATGGCGATACCGATAAAATATGGGTGGTTCCTAATAAACGCATCACTTTGCGGAAATATTGACTTGATATGGATCGATATGTGCCGTAGCGTAATTCACGTGCGCTTTCACGCATATGGAAATATATTGCACTAAATAACCTTCATTCCAAGAAACAGCCCGGCAATTTAGTATATTTCTCAACAAGCGCCGATTGCTTGTCCAGCCCCGCCTATAGCGCGTTGCCTCCTGACAACGTTCGAACAATATAAGGGCGAGCAGTATAAAGGTATATATAAATACAATATTCTTCTCGACGAATTCTACAAAGCGATCCGATGTTGTTTTAGAGAATCGACCGCTACATAACTTAGTTACATGTAGGGATGTTTGTTTTTGGCGTGTGTTATTCTGCGGAATGAATATTAATCACAGCTACAGTCGGCGTTTATAATATCTATATATAGTCTAATAAAACGGCTAGATAAAATTAACGCGACTTTAGTACTTTACTATTTTTATATAAGGCCGTGTAGGTTCGTAAAATAAGGTGGTGCTACTTACAACAGACAGAATTTCTTCCTATTTACGTCGTAAGAAAGTTTGTAAAATCTACTATTGTTATTGAATTGGCAAAAGTGATCCGTGATGTTTTAATATTTTGATATTTTGATGGATAACTGTATGGTGTTAAAATGGTTTTAAATACCGCCAAGACGGTTGCTAAAATAACTTAATATTTTAATGTCAGTGCACAATATGAGCGTATGCTCGCCTTGTATTTGGTTGCAAAGCATATAGAACAACCACAAGCATAGTTGTTGTTGGCGAGCATAACTAGAACCGTGATTTTGCTATTCAAGGTAAATTGACATGTGCACGCCCTGATCATTAGAAACATGCCCAAGATCTAAAATGCTAGCTAAGACCCTGGTCCTAAGAACTGGCTGAAGCTCTCCATTTCAACAAACTCTACAAGGCCATGACTGGACTTGCATAGCTAGAAAGGTTCCCCCCAAATTATTGAATTTTAGAAGTCCGTGAGAATAGCCGTTCCCTGCATGCGCTTTCATGCAGCAATGTATAAAAATTTATTTTAATTGCAGTTTATTGCTTAAAATGTCACCTAGACTTAAAGATTTGACTCCTGTCATGCCTCTATCAGCATAGCATTCATTATGTACTAGATAAAACATGAGCAGCCGATCTGTATCTG